ACCAGGAGTACATAATAGCTCCCCCCTATTATTTACTGAGGTATATTCACATTTTTGGGTATAAAATGAAAGAACAAGATTTTGTATTTTAATAATGCATGTACAATCGACAGTAATACTCGGATATAAATAAAAGGAAGATTCGGATAGTTTTTTTACATTTACCATCGAGAGGCGTGACAGACGGTCAAAAATTTGAGGGCAGGGCCTCGGTCAAGTCTTAGTGAGTGTTAACATCGTATCTAACCCGGCTGATCCATTTTTATGAAAATGGATTTGACTACCCACGAAGCCAAACGCAAATGCAAACTCTGTATCATATGTAATAAGGTTATCAGAAAAGAACACTTCAAATACCATTTTAATATTCATTTAAAGCCCTATAAGTATAAAATATAAAAAGGGATATGCTTGCTGCACTAAGGAGGAGGGGGGAGAAGTTGCCTAATAAGTGTTCTCACTCCATTCAACAGCCAGTAGTAGTCGGCTCCTTGAGCCCTCTGGTAACATCGCCTATCTACTCTGTGCATAGTTATTTACAAGAATACTACAACTGTGACAACCAAAGTGAGAAAACTTTTAAATGCGAGTTATAGGCAGAGTACCCTTGATAACCACAGAAAAAAAGCACATATCCCCATCTCCTCCAAAAGACAAAAAAAAAAAATTTATGTAACATATGTGCCAAGAATTTAAGTAGTTCAAGAATCCTTCGTGAACATCAGTTGCGCCATAATGTAGAAAAAAGCTTAAAATGTGAGTTTTGTAATAAGAGATATTATGGACCAAAGGCCCTGACTGACCACATGAAAACACACATAAAGGTTCGCAGTCACATATGTAAGAAGGAAATCAGTAAAATTTACCTAAGAAACCATCTTAACATTCATTTATCGGACAAGCCTTATAAGTGTAAGATATGTAATAAGGGATTTAATTTTGCGTATTCCTTAAAGTATCATAAACATTTTAAGAACAAGCTATATAAATGTATATGTGATAAGAAATATATTTGGCCTTCCGGCCTCAGTAAACACCAGGCTAAGTGCACCCTAAAGAAGAAGGAGGATGATAAGGAGCGGGCGAAAAAGGATTATTATAAGCTACCTGAGTAGAAGAATTACCTGAGGGTAAACTACAACCTAAGAAAAAGGTGAGTGAAGTCAAACCACGGTTTTAAAATTTGAGTATTTTATTTTTCCCGATTCTTATATAGTCTAAACAGCTAAGAAAGTGGAGGTGTTAAGATCCTTTTTCTTTCTTACAAGTAAAATCCACTTTCACCCTCCTCTTAACCAAGAATCCTCGACGAACGTTGCAGCAGCAAGTTTCTCTGAGCACAGAAATAAACACCAAATATCCCCACCAAAGTTTCTCTGTAACACATGTGGCAAGATTTTTAAATGTGAAAAAGCGATAAGCAGTCATTATCCGGAATAAAGTAAATCCTCCTACTCCCACCCACCTCACACAAACCACGGTTTTAAAATTTTAAGAGTATGAGACAAGTTATAATGTAATTTTTATAATAATATATTTTTATTTTTTACAGATGGCGACGGATGCAATAAAATAAGACGAGCCAACACTCTCCGCCTTAGCCACAGCGACACCACACATACAGGAAGAAAATTCTCTCTGTAACGTATGTGGCAAGAAGTTAGGTTGTGCATGCTGCCATCGCATTCACCAGTTGTATCACTGCTTAAAGAAAACTCTAAAATGGATTTCGGCCCCTGTCCGAAGTAAATCATTATCCGGAATAATTCGCTGTTGTCAATTTGCTAATATTATGGATGAATTGATGAGATTGAGGTTACTGCAGAAGATTTGTATGCGTTATTCTTCTTGTGAGTACTGTGAACAAAAGTTTAGTAACGAAGACAGCCTGCAGTTCCACATCATTAAAACGCACCACAAGCAGCCAAAGTCCTACGAGAACAAACACCATATATCCCCCGACAAAGACAAAAAAAAAACAGTTTCTCTGTAACGTATGTGGCAAGAATTTTAGTAGTACACGCAGCCTTCGCGAACATCAGTTGCACTATTATAGAAAAACACACATACAGGAGGCAAAGTTTCGCTGTGACGTATGTGGCCAAGCTCACATAAATAAACAACACCACACATCCCCACAACCAAGCAGCAAGCTTCTCTGTAACATATGTGACCTGAATTTTAGTAGTACACGCAGCCTTCGCGAACATCAGTTACACCACAAAGTAGAAGTAGAGAAAACTTATAGAAAAACACACATACAGGAGGCAAAGTTTTGCTGTAACGTATGTAGCAAGAATTTAAGTTGTACACGCAGCCTTAGCCATCACCAGTTGCGTCACAGCTTAAAGAAAACTTTAAAATGTGAGTTTTGTGACATAAATAAACACCACCACACATCCCCACAACCAAGCAGCAAGAGCAAGTTTCTCTGTAACATATGTGGCTTGAATTTAAGTAGTAAAAGAAACCTTAGGGAACATGAGTTGCGCCACAACGTAGAGAAAACTTTTAAGTGTGAGTTCTGTAACGAGAAATATTATTGGCCGAGTAGCCTGACTCGCCACAGGAAAAAACACATATCCCCACCACCAAAGGACGAGGAGGATGACGACGATAAACCACAATCGAAGGATGAGAAAATTAAATTACAACTTGAGGAATTATTTGATGTATTGAAGGAGAAATGGGAGGATGTAGATTTTCCTAATGTAGTGTAGGAAGAAGCTGGAAGTAAATCACCTACAATCTAAGGAGGAGGATAAACTAAGAATAGATGATGTGGAGGAGGAATCTATACTGTATTTTTTATTACTATTTAATCACTATAACAGAAATGTATCTTTAAAGAGTAGAGAGATGGAAGTAAATCGCCTACAATCCAAGG